TCAGTAAATCGCTGCCTGATGATGATCAACCTATTTTTCCCTTTCTGGAGTCATTTTGCGACATGTGACTGTATTATGGTAGCTTTGGAAGGCAGACGAGTGGGGTTCTCTTTGCTGTGTCCTGTGCAACCAACCCACAGCAATTCGTGACTCTCAGAGGTTACAGTAAGTTCACAAGAGAAACCATAGGGTATGGAAGAAATACCAGGTCCGTGAGCAAACAATTCTTCCCTCAAAAGGAGCATGGGTTGTTTTAGAATGGACAGTGCCCTCAATTGCTCCGTAATGTGATGTTCTCTCACACGCTCATCCTCTCTCCTCTTTTGTTCTTGGCCAAACACACAAACCCCCAGGTACAAGAAACACAAGTACAGAGGACTCTGCAATGACACTGGTTTTGCTCATTCATAAAAGCATGCTCAGCATTGTAGTATTCAACTGCTTCTAGTGCCTGCAGTGGGTTGTAATTCTGAAACAAAAATAGATTTTCCTTTTCGGTATTTTATTACTAGAATTAAAAATACCTTCATGATTATTCCACCCTCTTGCTGGCAGAAATATTCCTCTATCTTAATGCACACTGCAAACAAATATGCATCAGGTTCCAAAGGTGAACTCAGACACTCCTCATCAGGTGGGAATATCGTAGTTACCAGGTAGAAGGCAAACAATAAGCTAATGAGCAGAGCCGGCTCGTTTGAATACCGACAGAAAGACGCCGCTAGACATGCCTGAGCAATGCATGACGTCACCCATCAGCAATAAGTCAGAATAAAGCCATAGGCAGACATTTTGTGTGCTTGAGCCGCTTTCACAGTCGTACATTTGCAATTCTTTTTTTGAACAATGGGAAATTACGGACAGACGTGAAAATGTTGTGGGATCCCTGTTGCCTCCCTTCTGCATCCATCGGTGGGCTCCGCCGTTGCCTTGGAAACTGGGAAGTCCGGGCTGGATGCAGGCAGGGAGTGGCCGCTCGGCTGCCGAGGGGGACCTGGGGGGGCCTGGGCACACGCACCGCCTTTGTACCAGTGGGAGGTTTTTGACTCTCATTTGTAAGTCTGAACATTTAGAATTTATGGTGATGTATTAAAAAATACAATAGGGAACTCCCATATCTATTTAAATGGCACTGACGGCTATGATTTGTTACGGTGTTTGCCAAAATGCAGGGTTGTGAATTGACACTTAATTCGCTTCACCGTGTGTTCATGGATGCTCAGCATCGCCGTAGGTGAGGGCACTTGCCAGATACGTAAACGTGTACCTCCCTTTAGGTACGATGTTTTCAAACCTGGAGCTATACCCCCACAAAACCTGTCTCTACAAAGAGGCCAGTACTACAGCATCTAAGAATTGGACAGTTTCCTAATAAAAGCTCAAAATCCTTAATAACTATATAATCCTTAATAAAAATATGTGAAATCCTACAAAACCCTATAAAATCCTTAATAACTGTAAAGCCCTAGGAAGCCACCGTGTGCAAGTGGGAGGAAGGCACGGCAAGGAGTGTCCAGGCGCCTTCAGGAGGGGAGTGAAGATGCTTCAAGCTGGCCCTTTGTAGATTCCCAGGAAAACTTCGGCACCCAAAAAAGCTCTTCAAAGCCTGTGTGGACCCCACAGAGATGCCGGCGATGCAGTGGTGTTTCAGTCCCATCAGCAGTGAGAAGATGTAACTGCTGACTGCTGCCCAAAAGGGCGGGTTACGCCTATAGCAAGGGGAAACATATATGCAGAAGCAGCACGAGCGATACCAAAGACTGCCTGTGATTCACTATTACAGAAATGATTCAAAGGACAATACTGACAACAGCTGGGATTTAAAGCACACAACATTCAAGACAAGTTGGTGAAAAGATCTCAGTGTCGGCACAACTCTGGATATTTTGTGATTGTCAAAGCCACATGGAATAACACCACATGTAATTCCGTGTGTTGCAAAGCTTGAGCCAGTCCATGCTCGTGCCATTTCCCAGCAGCCGAGGTTTCCGCACTAGAGGAGAAGAGGAGCTGCAGTTCCTGAGCGAGTCAATTCACTGGAGCAAAGTGAGAGCCACTTCTGCAAATATGGCCAAGGTATTTTTCCAAGGTCACAGCAGCCAAATGCTCGGCAAATATGTAGTACTTCCTTAGCCACTAGTGCTTCATGCCATGCATGAAAAAATTGAGTGAAAATTATGGCATTATGCATTCATTTATATTGTGTTAAGCACAGCTAACCTGAGTAATATGTAAACAAACCTGTCCATTCTGGCTGCAATTGCCTTTCTTCTTGATAGCAGTAATGATTTACCACACTATTACCTCACCTTTGCAAAAACCTGATGGGTTTGTAGCTGTTATAATTGCAATTGAACGGTATAGTGTACTGTGGTACTGGGATCAATAAACCGTCAGTCTGGTGTTGGTGGTCACACACCGCCTGCCCCTCCTTTCTCTCCTTTCCACAGAATCACAGAATTCTTGAGGCTGGGTGGGACCTCTGGAGATCATCTAGTCCAGTCCTTTACTCAGCCTGGGAGGGTCAGCTAGAGCAGGTTGATCAGGGTTCTGTCCTCTCAGGTTTTGAAGCTCTTCAAGAATGGAGACTCCACAACCTCTCTGGGCAGCTCGTGCCAAAGCAAAGAAGTTTTTTTCTTATGTTTAGGTGGAATTTCTTGTATTTTAGTTTGTGCCCGTTGTCTCTCCTCCTGTCACTGGGCACCACTGAGAAGAGCCTGGCTCCATATTCTTTACTGCTTGCCATCAAGTATTTATACACACTGCTAAGATTCCCCTGAGCCTTCTCCAGGACAATCAGTCCCAGCTCTCAGCCTCTCCTCATGCAACAGATACTCCAGTTCCTTAACCACCCTCGTGGCCATTCACTGGACTCGCTCCAGCATGTCCATCTCTCTCTTGTACCAGGGAACCCAGAATCAGACGCAAAACTCCAGATGTGTCTCACCACAACTGACCCCCTTCCTTGACCTGCTGGTAATGCTCTTCCCAGTACAGCCCAGGATGCTGTTGGACACCCTTGCTGCAAGGGCACACTGCTGATTCATATTCAACTTTGTGTCCACCAGGACACCCAAAGTCCTTTTCTGCCAAGCTGCTTTCCATCTGGGTGGCCCCTAGCCTGTCCTGGTGCCTGAAGTTCCTCCCCAGTGCAGGACTTCGCAATTCCCCTTGCTGAACTGCGTGAGGTTCCCATCAGTCAGTTTCTCCAGCCTGTCGAGGTCCCTCTGCATGGCAGCACAACCCTCTTGGCCTATCAGGTCATTGGTAAACTTGCTGAGGGTGTGCTTTCTTACCGTACAAGTCATCAATGAACATGTAAAAGAGCGTTGGCCACAGGATCAGTCACAGGGGTACACCACCAGTGGCTGGCTCCTGAACGTTGTGTTGCTGATCTCAAGCGTTTCAGCCTGGCAGTTCAGCCAATTTTCTCTCCATCGTGCTGTCCATTTATCTGGGCCATACCTGGTCAGTTTGCCTATGGGGATGTCATAGCAGACAGCTCAAATGCCTGCACAAAACAATGTTGACTGCTCTTCCCTCATCTACCAAGCCAGTCCCCTTGGTGTAGGAGGCGATCAAGTGAGTCAGGCGTGACTGCCCCTTCGTAAATCCACGGTGACTACTCCCAGTCACCTGCTTGACCTTACTATGTTTGGAAATGGTTTTCAAAAGAATTGATTCCATCATCTTCCTAGCAACCAGCGTGAAGCTTGCTGGCCCGTACTTCCCTGGATCCCCTTCTGCCTTTCTCAAAGCTAGCAGTGACTCCGTGTTTTTTTCTTCCCGTGTGTCCCCCCCCCCAAACCCATGGTTTTCAAAAGAATTGATTCCATCATCTTCCTAGCAACCAGCGTGAAGCTTGCTGGCCCGTACTTCCCTGGATCCCCTTCTGCCTTTCTCAAAGCTAGCAGTGACTCCGTGTTTTTTTCTTCCCGTGTGTCCCCCCCACGAAACCCCCCCTGGAGCCGGGGCGGTGGCAGCGGCCGGCGGGGGTTGCCCCAGCGGGGGCTGCCCAAAGGGGGTTGCTCCAAGG